GTTAAGGACAAGTCAAGTGTGTAGGGAGCCGGACCATTGTATGTCACATAATGTATGCTTATCAATAAGTACAAATTATATTGTCAAGTGATCTACATTTTCTCAAAAGTTTTTTTCACTAAATCCAAAAAATATCACCACACAAATTCCTAACTTAGGTTTTTAATCATCAAATAGCGCACATAGTTATGCACATAAACAAGTTTCTAGAGAGAGAGATCCACTAGTTGAACCATAAAACTGAAAGAAGAAAAAACTCACTTGGTCCGTTGACCAGTGTAAGGTCTGTGCACCCCATCAACAAAGAAGAACAGAGTAGGAAACCCCTGAACTTCATACTTCTCCGTCAGATCATTCTCCTCCGTGGCTTCCACCTTGGCGAGCTTCACATTCTCCGCCCTCAACTCGGTGGCAGCCGCTGCGTACTCCGGCGCCAGTGCCTTGCAGTGCCCGCACCACGGCGCGTAAAATTCCACCATGACATACTTATTCTCATCGACGAAATCACTGAAATTACCACCAGTCAATACGACGACGTCCTTCTCGTCAAAATTGGCGGCATCACCTTCCTCCTCGTCTTGGTGATTGAAATCCGAGGGAACCTCGAAGTCATCGAATTCCTCTTCTTCGTTGTCAGAGTATTCGGCGTCGGAGTGGTGGTGGTGGTGGTCGTCGCCGGATGCGGCGTCGGCGGACTCGGGTTCCTCGAGGAAGCTGAGATCCTCGTCGTCGTCATCGGCGGCGGGGGATGAGAGAATGGGCGTGGAGAGGAGAGAGAAGAGGAGGAGAGAGGCGAGTGTGATGTGGAGAATCAGTCGAGTCGCCATTTCTATGACTCGGATCGGAGTTGGGGTTTTGACTGAGATCTGACGGATACACTTTCGATTTTGTTATGTTGAAGATGGAAGCTCTAAACGGTGTCGTTTTTATATGTCCGTTTTCCATATTTTCAGATCTATATAGTGATCCATGGAAATTGGAATTAATTTTTTATTTCTTTTTTTTTTTAGCTTAAAACAATATTTTTTTGTTGGAATTAATAACAATTGGTTAACAATTTGTAGTAATAATTAACTGATAGTTAATGAATAAATCTGTTTATAATTTTTGTATTTGTTAATGTAAAAAATATATTTATTTTACTAATACATATTAAAATATATATATATCTAATCTCTCTCACACTCGAATTGGATGCGGGGTGTGATTTTCCACGTCCAACTTAGACATATTTGCAGAACCGGAACCGGCCCATACTACACACGGTTCGGCGGGTCGGGCCGGTCCGATGGTTCACTCCGGTTCGGGACCTGCTCGGAAATTGATATTTATATATATTTTAAAAAAAAAGAAAAATACTTAATGGGTAAATAAATTAAAATAATTACTTTTAAATAGGAAAAAGAACAAAAGAAAATAAATAAAAAGATTTTAACTTGATTCTATAGGAAAAGATAGGGTGTGAGGGTATTTATAGGAAAAAATTGTTTTGGGATTCAAAAAATAGCAAATAACGGCCGGTTCAACTTTTTCAGTTTTTTCTAGTTTTTTTTAATTTTTTTTTTAAATCCGGTTGAACCGTCGGGCCGGCCCGACGGTTCATGGTTCATCTATTCCTAGAACCGAGCCCGTCCCGGGGACGACGGGCCGGTTCACCGGTTCCGGGCCAGCTCACCAGTCAACAGTTCAAGTCACCAACGGTCCAGTTCCGGGCCGAAAACCGACCAATTGCCATGTCTACTCTCTCACGCTCGAATTGGATGTGGGGTGTGATTTTCCACATCCAACTTGGACATGTTTGTGAGGTTTCGGGGCTTGGGTGGGTGAGCTTGCGAGTTCTAGAGATAGAAAGTAATATTTTGAATGAAAGGTAGTCGTAAAAGTTAGAC